CTGCAGTGTGAATGGGAACATGCAACAAATATAAAGGAGGTGTTATACCAATTTAGCTGCAAAAGTAGAAAACGCACTTAAAGTCCAGTCAGCACTCAAAATGAGAGAGATTCAGGTGTGACCTAAAAATAAAAAGGTGAACACAGCATAGTAAAGTACATGTGGAGTACCCACCAGTACTGCCTCCCTGGCAGCCAATCTTCACTCTTGCAGAGCTGGACTCTTCTGGCCTGTGTCTATCCCCACTGCACGCTGAGGTTCCGACCAGTGCAAGCTGTATCATTGATGTGTCTTCTCAGAGCTGCAGGGACACAGTAGTAACCTAGCAGGATGGGGAACCACAGTACACAGCACGGAGATGCTGCTGTCAGATACTAAAGATTTCACTGGCGGAAGAGTAAAGACCAGCAGCAAAGTGAGAAGTATAACTGTACTTTACTATGCTGTCTATTTATTTATACAATGTAAAATCAAGGTATTTTATTAGAGGTTTATTCCATATATACAAAAAATATAAGAGCAGTAAGGAGGCAACACTTAAACGTTAGGTGACTGTATTTGGATTTCCTTCTACTGTAATGGTTGTATCTTTGTCTATAACCCGGTGATCAAACACCCCCAATGATGGTAGGTCCTTGCAGTGTTACATTCAGAAAGCCTACTGTAATACCTTTTTTTTTTTTGATAGTTTCAAACTGATCAGAGCAGCTACCATAGTTAAAGGAGGCAAAACATTTTTTTTTTTTCATTTTGGATAGAGCAAGGGAGAGTTATAACCCATGCCAGTTTATTTTTTTGCCATTGGGGAGATTTCCCTTCACTTCCTGCCCCATAACCAAAACAGAAAGTAAGCGGAATTCCTGCAAATGACGGGAATCCATTGGGGGCTCCCAGGCCACCAGAACTAGTGTCTCCATTTGCCCTTTATTTCCCCTCTATTACTTTTCTGTGGACAACCCAAAATCTGGGGTTTTCTGTACTTTCACTTTTGATGATGACAGTAAACAGGACAAACAGAGAGGCTAATGCAGGCTATAGACGGGGAGAAAACCAGCCATTTTTTTAGAAAAACGAAAAATCGGTCGTTCAATCAGCCGACGTTACCACCATTGGTAAAAAAAAGTCGGCTGTTTTTCGTCCCGTCTACGGCCGGCAATTATATAGAATATGCATAAGGAGAAGAAATAGAATATGAATAAAGAAGAATAGAATAAGGAGAAAAATAGAATAAGGAGAAGAAATAGAATAAGGAGAAGAAATAGAATAAGGAGAAGAAATAGAATAGGAAAGAAATAGAATAAGAAGAAATAGAATAAAGAAGAAATAGAATAAGGAGAAGAAATAGAATAAGGAGAAGAAATAGAATAGGAGAAGAAAAGAATAAGGAAAGAAAAATAGAATAAGGAGAAGAAATAGAATAAGCAGAAAGAAATAGAATAAGGAGAAGAAATAGAATAAGGAGAAGAAATAGAAAAGGAGAAGAAATAGAATAAGGAGAAGAAATAGAATAAGGAGAAGAAATAGAATATGGAGAAGAAATAGAATATGGAGAAGAAATAGAATATGGAGAAGAAATAGAATATGGAGAAGATAGAATATGAATATGGAGAAGAAATAGAATATGGAAAATAATAGAATATGGAGAAGAAATAGAATAAGGAGAAGAAATAGAATAAGGAGAAGAAATAGAATAAGGAGAAGAAATAGAAATGGAGAAGAAATAGAATATGGAGAAGAAAAGAATATGGAGAAAAATAGAATATGGAGAAGAAATAGAATATGGAGAAGAAATAGAATATGGAGAAGAAATAGAAGAAGGAGAAAGAAATAGAATAAGGAGAAGAAATAGAAATATGCAGAAGAAATAGAATATGCAGAAGAAATAGAATATGCAGAAGAAATAGAATATGCAGAAGAAATAGAATATGCAGAAGAAATAGAATATGCAGAAGAAATAGAATATGCAGAAGAAATAGAAATATGCAGAAGAAATAGAATATGCAGAAGAAATAGAATATGCAGAAGAAATAGAATATGAAGAAGAAGAAGAAAAAGTTGAAACATTGTATCTGTATCCATTTCAGATACAGATGTTTATATTCGGATACAAATAGATACAATGTTGCTATACTTTTAAATGTCAAATATAATATCGGACTGAAATTCTTTTTTTTTTTCTTATTCTTCTTTTTTCATATTCTATTTCTTCTTTTTCTTCTACTTCTTCATATTCTTTTTCTTCTGCTTCTTTATATTCGATTTCTTCTTTTTATTCATATTCTATTTCTTCTTCTCATTCATATTCTATGTTTTTCCTTTTCTTCATTTCCTTCTTCTTTCATGTCACTGCTCATGCGCATTTTTTAAAATCGGAAAAAGATCAGCAGATTTGTCCATCATTGCTGTGAAAAATCGGCAGAATGACAAATTTGCCCGATTTTTTTCCAGCAGGACCGATAATTGAAAATGGCAAAAATCACTAAAAACGGCCGACCAATTACCGCACTAATGATCCAAAAATCGGCCGTTTTTTTTTTTTTTTCCGGCCGATTTTCATCCCATCTATGGACCGCATCAATCTCCCTAATAGGGGCACAGACAGCTGGCAGGGGTTCTAATCCTTCTCCACTCTATCCAAAAGTAAAAAAAAAAAAACGTTTTGCCTTTAGTTATACTTTAAAATGTTAAAGCCTGCCTTGGAAGTCCGAATGTGACTGGTCATGGACAGCAGATAGAAAGGAAGTTACCCAGCACAGGCTTTAGAAGTACACTCCCAATGGTCCAGTGAGCAGTGGAGTAGCGGAGGTGAACATCCTGATTTGAATTATTTGCTGTAAGAAATTACGATTTCCTAATGCTTTGCCTTGGTGCTTACCCTCATGCCTTGCTGCCTTAAGCTGGCCATACACGTGTAGATTTTCAGAAGGGAATACTCAAAAAAAAAAAGGCATACAAAAATTCTCTGAACATTCGATGAACGAATGTCGTTGGAAAATTGCCTTTTGCTTTTAACATTTGATTTTAAAATAAATGTAATTTCTGAACGATAACCACATACACTGGCCAAAAATTTGTTTGATCGAGAAAAGTTTTCCTTCCTGCCCGATTTGACCCCACTAATGGTTAGAAAACTAAACAAATATTCTTGACACGAAAATTCTTGAACAAAAATCTATACGTGTATGGCCAGCTTTACACGGAGGTCCACTCGCACCTTCTAACGAATACAGTTCTGATCTTCCTAAACCGTCTAATCAACTTTTGTGGCACAGCTATTTCCGTGGCTTACAAATGGTATTCCTTTGAGGTGTGCTTGAATTGATTCAGTGGCAACCTATTGCACTTCAAGCCTCTCACAAGTTCTGATAATAACAGGACGTACAGAGCTTCTACTAAATGCCCAACTGTCAGGATAGGAAATCTCTCCAAGCTGAAGCACAGACAAAACACATTTGAAGAGTGGAGAAAGATTACAACTCCTGACAGTGTTTTATTGCGGTCTGTGCTGTCCCGTCTTGGTGTCACAGGAAAAGTAAGTAAGTGAAAAGCTGCCTAATGGTGTCACAGATGCATACAAATCACCTGTTAATTTCAGCTTTTCCCCACTTCAGCCATATTTTTTTAAGTTTTGGATGGCGTTCAGTTTTAAAATAACCAACCACGGTTTCTTTTAAAGAGAGCTAGTTGTCTGAATGTCTCCAGTTTCAATACTTACTGAGCCACAGACCTGGAATTAGACAGCAAGTAAAGCATACTGGACATACATATTCATTACAGGTCAGTGACTCTGAATACAAAAAAAGCCATTGCAGCAATAAGACAGCCAGGCAGCTAGCATTTTCTGAAGAGCTCAGCGATAGCAGCCTACCTATTTATTCTACAAAATGTGTGTTTTATATAAACAATTCATTACAATTAACAAAGCAGTGAAAACCTAGAAAACCCCTTAAAAAGTGTAATTTCACACAAATCATAATAATACACTTTCTTGTCAGTTAAAGTTGAACTCCAGAAAGAAAAGACTGCCATTTAGACCAAGTCTGTTAAAAAAAAAAAAAAAAATTCATAAAATATATTTTAACATGGCTAATATAAATACAAGAATGTGTTTTGGTATTCATTGCCTCTAAGCACCTGCACAACAGTACACTGGAAAGGGAGGGGGTCCTACAGGCACTACTACAATAAACAGTGCTGTCTGTCTAAAACTGGCAGCTTTCTGACAGGAGGAGAGCAAAGTGACCACCTTGGTCAGTATGATGATGTGGTACAGTGAACAAACTGTATTGCTTAACTGCAGTGGAGACAACTAGGTCACTAACAGCTATTCAGCCTGGTATAAGAAATGGAGTGATCAGAAAACTAGTCCATCAGAATTACAGATGCTTTGGCAGGTATGACGGACCACATCTTTGTATTGTTACTATGCATTTTGCTGGAGTTCAGCTTTAACTTCTCATACTTAATGCTAAACATTACAATACATTGTTAAATTAGTATGAACTTTAGCAATTCATTTTATGTTAAAATAGCTAGAAATTGTATCATTTGCCCTCCATCAGAACAAACAAGTAATAAATTACAGAACGAAAAGTTCAAAACATAGAAGTACTGTCATAATGAAGTTTATGTTAAAATAAATGTAAGTACCTTATCATGAATACTAACAATTTTGCTAGCACATCAACAGGATGTCCACCTGGACCCAGAGAATAGACAACACCTAGGAATACTCTGTAGGTGAAATAAAATGAAAAACAAAGCCACAGAACATGCATACATAAAATGTAAAGTGCTTGTAGCAAAGTGAATAAGTCATCCACGCACCTACTGATAAGGGAATTTGCAAATTATTGATCATTTGAAACTTGTAGAAAATCGAAAGTGTTCACAGCTCTAAAACCCAGAACAAAATACGATTGTCCACTCTTGTTTAATTGGAGTCTGTGGAAACTATTTTAGCCGAACGTCACGTAGAGGTGGCTGGATTTCCACACTGGCTAGTCTCCAACATCTCCATCTCTATCCCCGATAAGCCACAAAATATGGAAGCCAACAGCAAGCAAAGCAGTTCCTAAAAGGTCTCCCAAAGCAGTGAGGTATGGTATAGAAAAACTGTCTGGGTCATTCCCCTTCCTCCAAATGTGATGCACCATCCAGTCTGCAATCCAGAGCAGAGAAAATACCTGAAAGAAAAAAGTCGATAAATAAATAGCAATCCCATGACTTTGTGTAGCAGTCCAGAGGCTTAGAATGGAAAGATTCTGGATTATAGCAAACCAACTGTGCTTTATTTGTGCTAGATCACAATGTACATTATTGCAGGGCACTGCTGCTTCACTTTCTGTTAGAAGGTATCTGTCCATAAAGATTTTTCCAAGAAATCATAAAATACATCAATGGTTATCATAAATCACTGAAGTAGGGGGTTTTACTAAATATTCTCCCTCACACAGGCACGACAAAAAAAAGAAAAATTCAGTAAAGTTATATACACATTAATGAGGTACAATCTGGCTTTCACGTGCAAAAATCCCTAACAGCTTACTTATTTCTAAAGCCAATGACCACTACTCATTACTCTTACTGTTAGACCTTTCTGCTGCCTTTGACACAGCTGACCACCTGCCCATCTTCATAAAACTCCACTCTCTTGGCCTCCAAGACTCTGCACGTTTCCTGGTTCTCCACCTACCTAAGTGCTCTTTCAGGGTCACCTACAACTCTACCTTCTCCTTTCTTGTTACCATATGGGTCCCCCAGCACTCTTTCCTGGGACCTTCTATTCATTATCCTTTTGTCAGTTGATAACCTTGCATAGCTACCAATACCATCTTTATGCTGATGACACACAAATCTCTCTCTCTACTCCTCAGCTCACCTCTTGAGTCTCTTTGCGCATCACTAATATACAAACTGTTATATACTGTAAGTATGAATGTAACACCACTTTCTAAAACTAAATCTTTCCAAAATTTAGCTCATAATATTCCTTACCCTCCCAATGTTTACTCCCCAGAATACCACCACAACTATCCTTTCCTCTCTTTGTGCTCGTTATCTCCCTCCTCCTTGGCCTACCTCTACATAGGCTATCTCCCCTTCAGTCTATCGTGAATGCTTAAATTCATCCACCTTATCAATCACTCAGTGTTTGATCTGCTCTCTGCCAACCTTTCCAATGGCTTCTGTTTACCCAACAAGTTACAATTAAAAATACTAACATGCACCCAAGCACTAAAATCTCATATGCACTTTACCATGGAAAAAACAACAAAAACCCTTCCTCACTGTGTCCCACTAGAGAAACCTCACCACTTCCTGCCTTGGTGACCATACTCCCATGGGGGAATGGAACTCTCCCCAATGGGGAAATTTAAACCTGACAGAGGTTCTAACTCTTCCCACCCAAACCACAACAAGCTGGCTGGAATGAGGTTCTACAGTAGAACACCTTTCCAGAGGCCCCCCAACACAGTGATGAAAAGAAAAAGAATGGCAGCAGCCTTCTAGTCAGTCTGTAGCATCACAGGTTCTTCCTCTTGTCTGGTGCCAAGTGATCCTTACTTTTGCACTATACAGCATAGACCTAATGACACATGAATGCGGTTTCATGCATTAGTATGGTGAGCCCAGACTGCCGTAATGATGTCTGGGCTCAGAAGAAGTGGTTTAAATAACCATGAAATCAACCCAAAAGACTAATGACATCTCATGGTGGAAAGGAATTACTGTGGGCAGCAGCTATAGATTAAAGTTGAGCACTTTTTCTTTCTTTTCTTTGTGTCACTTTAAAGTTGTAAAACTAGCAGGCATAATCCGACTTTGATCCACTCCACACAAACTGGAAATGTTTTTCAGATGAATTCTGTTTGAAGGGTATGTGCACTTACCTTAGGTTTCTGCATGCAGTTTTTGCCTACCTCCCTAAAGTCAAGATTTAAATAAAAGAAAACCCAGAGTTTTAAGCTAACACTGCGTGCACACATTTAGAGGTGCCTACTATTCACTGCCAGGTAGAGTAGAAGAGTTGAGGTATAGGTTTACCCTAAGCAAAGACCTCAAGCTGAAAACTTGGAAGGAAAACCGTAATTAAATACACTGGTTTTATTTACATATTTTTAATGCATAGCATCGACACCATAAACGTTGTAATATTTCTGTTTCCTTATAGCTACAGTATACAAGTGCATTTACCTGCGTTTCTCCTCATTAAATCTTTCCACTAAGCTGACAATGTAACTATACATAAAAATATGCACTGGCTGTAGAGACTAACAGGCCTCTCTTCATCGCAGTAACCTAACTCATTATGCATCCACTAGTGTGCTGACTTCAGTCCAGAGACTTTTTTTTAAGTGCGTGTTTTGCTTGGAGAACGCTCTCTACAGCACTGACTCCAGTTTTTTCTCCAACTGACAAATCCACTTTTGTACTTCAAATGTATACCGTGTGTACTCAAATGTACTTCTGATCTTACACTAACGCTATGTGCAGTGTGGAGCTGAAGAAGGTACAGGTAAAGACCATTGTGCTGATGTGCCTTATTACTCAAACATACATTAACCACTTGCCCGCCAGAGGATTTACCCCCCTTCCTGACCAGGACAATTGCGCGGTCATGCAACACTATACCCAAATGAAATTTACTTTCTTTTTTCCCCACAAATAGAGATTTCTTTTGGTGGTATTGGATTACCTGTGCGTTTTTTATTTTTTGCGCCATAGAGAAACAAAAAAAACAGACCGACAATTTGGAGGAAAAAAACAATATTTTTGACTTTTTGCTATTAGTCCTCATGCACACTGGACGTTTTTACAGTGGCTGTTTTTGGTTTTGGAGTTTTTTCTTCTACAGCCAGTAAACTCCCCAGCATGTTATCCTTTGTGTCCATGCACACATAGACTGTAATCAGTGTTTTTTGGCTGGAAAAAACCCCCAGAACTAGTGGGTTTCTAGAGGAGTTTTTTTTAGCTGTAATAACGCTCTAATGCTGAAAAATTTGGCAAACCGGCGTTTTTGGTCTTTTTTTTGAGCAAAAAAAATGTTTCTTTTTTTGGGAAAAAAAAAAACGCTAAAAGCACAAACGTGAAAAAACGCTGCTAAAAGCTAATGCAAAAATGTTAAAAAAGGCTGAAAACCTCATGTTTTTAACACGACTTTACACAGTAACATTACCAGCATTATTAAAATGCCCAGTGCGCATGAAGCCTAAAACATGTCCAGCAAAAAAAAAAAATTTCGTCAAATTTAGGCCAAAATATATTCTGCTACATGTCCTGGTTAAAAAAAAATCCTAATACATGTGAATTAATTGGTTTATGTGAAAGTTATAGCGTTTACAAATGGCGGTATATATACTGGGATTTTGTTTTTCACTAGTAATGGCAGCAATCAGCGATTTATAGTGGGACTGCGGCAGGCATTCTGATGCTAGGGGGAACTGACTTGGTGTCACTGACATCCCCAGTGACACCAATACAGTGAACAGTGCTAATAAAAAGCACTGACACTGTACTAATGGCACTGGGCAGGAAGGGGATAACATGTGGGGCGATCAAAAGGTTAAGGGTGCTGTTCTACTTTGTGCAGTGTGTGCGCTTTCAACTGTAAGCACACTGCTATGCAGAGCCATGAAAAAAAAAAAAACAGTGTGCAGGAGCTGACAGGGGAGAGAACTGTATTGTTTACATACAGTTCTTTCCCTCCGCCGGTACCCACTACCAAATTAACACCTGCCCTGGCACGTCATAGCATTCACTCGGCACCCCAAGAAATAACAGAATCCAACTGCAATATTCTTGCACTGTCAAAACCTCCACTTTTATTATCACACGACACACAGAAGGATATATCTTCTAGTCATCACAATCTGCATAATAACACACACCAATAAGAATGTGAGCATTACAGCATGAAATAGACACATCTTTGACAGTGTCACAGCATAGAATTAATACATTACCAAAGCTACGGAAGACGGGAAGGAACAGACCCTATCGAAACCATAATGCACAGGGGGTCGCGGAGAAGCCTTAAGCACGACCAATTCGGTGAGCCCATATAGTCTTGTCAAAAGTCAGAGCTTCGCCTTTTTCGCATAGGAAGGCTTCCAATTTGACCGCATTCAGACTTCTCATTATATACCCTGTTAAATTCTTGTGGCAACTTTCCCGAAATGGGAGTGCACCACACCCACCTCAGGAGGAGTTAGCAGAAAGGTTCCGTTAGTCACACCCAGCCACTTTACTGGCAAACTTCTTAGCTCGTAATATCACACTTTTGCCACAAATCAGCTTCTTATCTACTCTTAACTTAAAGATTTCTAACTTCTTAAACAAGTAAACATTTGTAAATGCACAAACAAGTTCTTATCTAATTTAAGCAGTCCAATGTAACATTTCAAGATGTCACAAACACGGTCAATCTCACAAACACTTCTTATCGGTTTTAAGCAGTCCAATGTCTTGTGACTCTGTTCCTTTAGCCTAGAGAAATTACATCAGTGTCATTTCCTGTGCTTCTGGCATATGGGCAACGATGCTTTATTGTAAAAATTCCCCAAGAAACAAAGGGTCCAAGGCCGAAACATTTCATAGCTCACCAGACCTTAACCCCCTTGAATTCCTTTTTTGGGGTATGCCAAAGGAGAAGGTGTACTCCATGAAAATCACAGATATGAATCACCTGAAGGAAAGCATCATGAACGAATGCGCTCAAATTGACGGAAATGTTGCGTTACTGCATCGGGTTCATGTGCATCTTGCAAATCACATGGAGCTTTGTAGCACAAACAGTGGAAATCACATTGAAGAGGTTATTGATTAATATTCCAATTAAATAAAATGTTGTTGAAAAATGTATTGAAATCTGTTGAAAATATGCATTTTTCCTACATGTCCAGACTTTAGGGACACCGTGTACAATAGCTCAGCAGGAGGATTTCCCGATCCATCTCAAATGCTATATTAGATTTTTTTCTTTTATTTTAAGTTTTACCAACATGGTGTCATTGGTAGGTTTGCTTTACTTAGTGAATTCAAAAAAAGGTAAGGACAATCCTGTGGAACTGCTGGAAAGGAAACGGTCTGTTGGCCAGACGGGTTTCTATGAACAATACCTTTTTTATTGGTATGTTTAGAACCTGTTTTTTTTTTTAATGCTGACAGACGTGTTTGCATTTGT